GAAGAAATGTGGGATTCTAGTGCTAGCGACAACATGCTTAGTCTAGTTGCTCACTTGTGGATTTCTTTCTCCTGATTCTTCTCATCTGCAACATCACTAGGCAAATCCCGGCCAGATGGGATATTTCCTGGATAATTAGTTGCTGGGATATCCAACCCCATCATGCTGGAAAGAATGAGGAATTAATAGTAGCGAGCGATAGGGATAAAAATCATGAAACCGTAACTGCAGGTAACGGCAGTATGATGCGTTGAGGTTTACCTTCTATCCACAATGATCAGCGAACGGAGCTCACAGTTGGCAAAACTGCAAAAAGCATATCACAAGAGGTCATTCTGCACTCTTGAAGACTACAAAAAGATTAATAACATTTTTAATCTGTTTGTAGTGTTCTTGCAAAGCAACATGAGATGAATCAGGGAACCAGAATGACTTTAGTGACTATAATGAGGAAATCTAGTCTGTATGATATGCTAATTCCTCATCCCCAATCAGCTCTAGATTTCATTAACTTCGTAAGTTAGAAGGTTAAACACGGGCAGTGCCTAGAGCTTGCACAAGTTGGGAACAAACAATCTTAAGATTCTCGATCTTTTCTCCTTTCCTGTAGTAAATTAGTACACAGGTCTTATCTTATACAACTCAGATAGACAAGAACTGAAGTGTAGTGACTTTATCTGAAATAGCTCTTAACATAAGAACCCATAAAACAGACACTCTGACTATATGTTAAAATGGCAGGTAAGGGGTGCATTTAAGTTTTCTTTTAAAAAAGGCAAAAGAAATTACAAATTATGCACCAAAAGGAATATAATTTTGATAAGTTACAGTAGTTTCATCAGTACTTACTGCTTGGATATTTCTCGCTTCACCAGAGGATGGCAGTCATTGCCAAATGCAGCAAGCGTATGATACAGGAATCCACTGTGTGTAACTACAGCTATCTCCTTCTCTTTCCTTGATAATAACCTGTATCAATAGAAATATAGCGTTAGAAGATCACAATGAAAATCAAACTTCTAAATCTTAATAAAGATTAAAATGCTATAATCTACTCAATCACTTGGACAAGGGCGTGAAGTTTACGTGCACGTGTTTAACAATCTACAAGTCTACATTTATCAAAAGATGCAGGAAG